GAATCGGCCGTAAGTGACGACAAGCAGAATGCAGTAAAACATCCAATCAACCAGGGAGAGCATGGCTCGACCCGCGTAAAGTCCTATCGAACAGCAGCCAAGAGAAAGAGGGCATACTTACGCAGAGCCCTAACACCAACATCCCAAGTAAGTATCTCAGAGAAAGCGAATGGAGGAAGGAGACGCATGCCTTTGTTGTTTCAAGGATGAGACGGCGCGAAGGCCCACCGCGCACGCTCCCAGCGAGCACGAACTGGCGGATGTCGATTCCGCCCACCCCCGCCAACAGCAGGTTTCCGTTTTTACGGAACACCAGCGATGACGGGAGAGTGTGAGCACGACGGCCGGGTTCGTGGAGCCAGGCAGCATGTGCGATGGGTGTATGAGAGAGGGAAGGACGGCGCACTCGCGATCGTATCGGTAATCGACATCAGCGGGTCTCACGCGCGTCTTCTCGAGCACATATATATATATACATGTACGTATGTATTGTAGGTCGACCTCGAGGGTATAATGATAATATAACATAAGCTATGTAGTGGTGCTGATATCGGCGCAGTGTCTGCGATAATGCGGTGGACGGTGGAACAGAATGGCAATGGCAATATAGGAGAGACAACAGGGAGTCGGACAAATGTTGGAGGACGGAAAAGAAAATAAGTCGTCGCTGCTCAGGGGCAGATTCGTCAAAACATACAGTCTGAGAGAGAAGGAGAATTTGAAGTGCACGATAAACATATTTTGTTCTTCTCGCAAGAAAGAATGGGCGGCTTCGGTGCGCAGGCGCAGCCGGCAATGCAGGAACGTCTCGCGCTTCAGCGCGGAGCGGAAGAAGGGAAGGTCGGAAGACGAAAACCACCAAGAAAGAAATAATAAAAGGAATCGAGAAGGCACGGAGAGAAAAAAAAAAGTCCGGGAAATTACTGTCCAACAACATGCATGCGTACAGTTTCAAGAACGGGTCGTCGTCACCCGCAGTACATTTATATCTTACAGCCGCTTGCCGTAGTCGTCTGTGATCGAGCCGCCGAGCGAGGCGTACTGCGCGTGGAGCCCGCCGCTGGCGCCGCCTAGCGGGGGTTGGTACCCGGGGACGGCGGGCGGGGTGCCCGAGTCGCTGCCGGTATAGTGGAGTGACGGGACGCTGTCGAACTGTGCGTTCGAGCGCGAGCGCGAGACGAGTTCCGAGGCGACGTCCGTGCCGTACTGCTCCGCGAGTTGGCTGCAGCACGAGACGGCGTCAGTTTCAATTTGAAATGGGGAAACAAAGAGGAGAAAAGAAGAAAGGCGAGACGCACTTGGCGTAGTTGTCCATGATGACGGCCATGGAGTTCATGCTGAGGCGGTATGCCTTCGGCATCATGCCCTTCCCGAAGCGGTACGTGACGTGGTTCGAACAGAGCAGCGCGGCGAGGATGGCGAGGATCTGGAAGGGCACGATGCCGAACGCGACGGAATACCAGCGCTCGAGCGCGTTGCGCTCGAACTTGAGGTAGGGGCTCTTGCAGCCGGGGAGGATGCTGCGCGCGTAGCACGTCTGGCTCGCGGTCGCCTCGACGAACGGCGAGTAGTAGCCGCAGCAGCCGAGCTGGTTCTGGATGCGCAGGCGCCCGTCGATGCCGAGCACGCGCGACCACTGCGCGTTCACCTTGCCCTCGAGGTTGAACGTGCGCTGCTTGTACGTGATGTACCCCGGCGCGCAGACGAGCGCGAACATGCCCCAGAGCATGAGCGTGTACACCGCGAGGAAGCTGCGGTTGTTGAGCAGGATGCCGCCCCAGCCGACGAGCGAGGTGATGATGCCCACGACCGACGCGAGCGTCGACAGAACGAGCTCGGTTCGGTTCCCGACGCGGACGATGTCGGCGTGCTTCCAGACGTTGAACCATGTGAGCAGGCAGAAGATGAGTGCGACCAGCGAATAGACCATCACCTGGAACGGCGATCAGCGACGCGGCGGAGAAACATAAGGAGACGGGGTTCGAACTCACGACGAAATTTGTCAGGAAGAGAATCCACTTGAACCTGTTCCATCGCAGCTTCGGCTTCCACGCATTGCGCGTAACATCGACACCATCGTAGTCGTCGTCGTGCTCGCCCGGCATACGGGCCTCGCCGCTGCGGAACGCCTCGCGACCCCCACCCTGCTTCGGAACGCTCGCGCCGCCCTTCCCATCCTTCCCCTTCCGCTTGTAGAGGCCCGGCGACAGCGGCCCCGAAAATTTTGACGGCAAGAAGTTGACGGAAAGAGAGTTGGTGGACACGTCGGAGGGTAGGTTGACCGATCGGAGGGTGCCCTTTGGCGAGGCGGGGGCGGTGAAGCCGGCGAAAGGGGCGGAGGGGGGCTCGAGCGTCATGGTGGTATCGTGGTCGGGGAGGATGTGTCGCTGCGAGGACGCGAAGGAGTTGGAGCGGGACAGGTTGGACGATACGCGCCGATGTCTGTCGGGATAATGTGAGCAATATTGAAGGTTATGGTTGGGGACAGGACGGCAGCATCGGCGTTGACTGCAAGGGGCTCGCCAAGGAACTCGTTATTCGTTCTTCACTCGATCACGTCAAGGCACGCAGCTGCTCATTCGGTTAGGCAAGCAGCCTTCCCGCAGCAACACCGACGCCGGAGCTCAACTGGCGACAATACTCACAGCACCATCTTTTTGGAGGACGCCGCCGTCGACGGAGGCAGGAAAGTGGTCGAGAATGGAGAGCGCAGTGCAGCGACGGCGATGCAGACAGGATAATATCAGGCTTGGCAGTTACCTAATAAAATGAGGAAAGCGAAATACTTACCAGCCGACGGTTCGTTCCCCCGGCGGTAACGGCGGCATTGCGGTCGGGACTGGTGTTGGACCCGAGGTATGTTGACCACACGCGCTGCATCGGCGGCGAGGGACAGCGTCGAGTGGCAGCGGGAGCAGGAGCGTAGGCGAAGGCAAAGGATAGCGCGATACAGCGAGCACATACAGTCGGGATAACGCTGACGGCATTTCTCTATTTAGCTATATTTCGGCGGCTTCAATCCACATTCGGTATCCGACCCGAGTTTTATTTTAACTCAAGCCTTAATGAGGTATTTTGTCGGTCCGGCATTGAATACGATTTGCTCCCCACCCAAAGGATCGTTCCTGTCGTGGCTATTTTCAGCTGCGTGTGTCTACTAGACTCCCATGAGTATTTTCGAGTGATGAGCGCTTTTCTTGCCTAAACACTCTCGCCGCTCCTCATGTCGTTGTCCAAAATTATTTATTCTTCGGGTGGTATGGCCCCAGCACACGGACTGCCTTGATCTACTGAACGAGCCGGCTGCTTCAAAAGAATAACTCACTCCTCACAAGTGCCTCGTTTCTTCTCACTGTGAAGCATCCGAAGCAATGGGACGTTCCCAAGTCCTATAGAGGCACGCAAATTCCGTGCCTGATAGCGATAAAAAAAGGGCTCATCCTATTTGGTTATTTGCAGGGGACGTAGGGAACGGTAGCCAATGGGCCATGTGCGGCGGTCGCCCCCCTTCTTTTGCTTTACACAAGCGCAGCTTCGATAGACATGCATTCCGGCACGACATCTCATGCGGTGCGCATCCTTCGAGTCGCTATCTGTTTCTTTCTCCTCACGAGCATCATAATTTCCTTGCAGAAATCATCAGCGGAGACGACCCGCAATCCGCCCAATGATCGTTCACTCTGAATAGCGATCATACAGACTTCTAAACGTCCCTTTTAAGCCTACGGAAATACGTCGAGGCGCTTGATCACGCACAGGGCACGACTTCGTCAAGGCAGTATATTTGGACGCTCCACGACCCCATTACCGCATCATATGTGTACATTCCCTAATCACTGGCCCCCATCGCAGGATTTACTTGATACCTGCCAATTTCAGAACCGCGAAGGCGCTGCGGATCCTTACGCGATACCATAGAACACGGCAGACTCGTCCGGCCGCGCAGTGCGCCGCACTTTCTTCTCAACCTCGTTTTGAAGACCGACCTTCAATTACCTTTCGCAGAAGAGAGAACGTGGTTCGTGAAACTCAACATATCGACGTCTGAGCCAGCGGCATGGGCGCCCAGACTCGCGCGCAGTCCGTCAGCGCAGTATTCAATCCCTAAAGGCTCTATCAGGAGCACAGCGCATATTGTATCCCAGCATGCAGCGACGTGCAAAGCGCCGCTCGCAGTACTTCGATTTCTTCACTCGTCTCGCATCACACTAATGCTCGCTTCTCACATCTTCAGATCGAAATGCACTTCTCGAGGGCGTTCTTCGCGCAGTCTCTGCGCTGGGGAAAGACTTCGGGCAGATGGTGCTGTGTATCAGGATAAATACACGGATGCGGACCGGCTTGCGCTGCGCGCGTGCCACGCTATGTGCTTCGTAGTGATCACAGTTTCCCGGGGTGCCGGGGCTTCGTCGAACCAGTCAGACGAGCAGGCTTTCACGAAGAACGCAGCCTTGCGCGGTCATCTCCGAAGCAGATGCTTTCGAGTACCACGAAGAAAGCCCGAAGAACGGCGCAGAGATCCGACGCGGACGCAGCAATTTCTATATTGTCAGGATATCACACACTTCGAAGGGCGTGGGGGCTGATAAGCTACCTACCCTCTAGAAAGGGAAGCACCTCAAATGGAACCCGAATTCGACTTATCTCAAACTGCGACATTAACCGCCGCAGGGAATGGCAAAGACCCACATACGTCCAACCTTAAATAATCATCAAGAATTAAGACGTCTGCACGTGAAGAAGCAATTGCTATCGAGCTACCCGAAGAAATCCTGGAGAACGACGCCGAGCTCCGACGCCGAGCTGGCGCAGCATTTTCTATATTGTCGGGATATCACACACTTCGAAGGTCGTGGGGGGTAGAAAGAGAAGCACCTCAAATGGAATCCGAGTCCGATTTATTTCCAATCGCAATGTCAACCACCGCAGAGAAGGCAAATACTCGAGGCGAAACATCCATCCTGAACAATTCCCCAGAAATTAGGGAGCTTGCACGTGATGCCTGCTTGGCTCAGTGGTTAGAGCGTTTCACTTGTACTTTCCTACGAAGCGCTTGGTAGAAAGTCATGAAAAGGTCACTTGTTCAACTCAGGTAGTAGGCAGGAAGTTATGCTGCGATTGCGTGATTTTGTTTTTCTCTGTATATCTTACCGCTTACGAGTCACGGCTAATCGATCCTTGCGCGCAGATCTTTTCCTGTCAACTCAGTGCCCCAGCAGGCTATTTTTGACTGGGTGCTAGGCCTTTGACTTCGAGCTGCTTGTTCTTGCTGCGAGGCGTGGCATATCCGTTTTGTTCACCGCGAGGTCCGGAGTTCCGCGTATACGACACCGGCGCAGCGCGTCTTCTTGCGACTACATCCTTGCAGTGCAGAGCTATGGTTCTTCACCTTCGATTCTGCCCGCTCATTCTGCAAAAGGTGCGCAATCTTCCCGCACGTCCTAGACGCGCTCCGTCTCTTCAGTTGATACATCGTGACTCTTGGTGCGGAAACAACACTGATACACAGAAGACTATTTTGTCAGGTCCTTGGGCAATTATAACGAACGTACAAACGGTCGGTAGACTTCGTTGTCAGGTATGAAGGCCATGTCCTCTTGTGCATTATTATATGTATTCAGTATTGAAGTATTTCCTCTACGTTCAGTATGACAGTTAGCTCTGTTACCAACCGACTTTCATTATGTATAATATTTCTCTCCAGCAGCCGATTCTGACAATTGTTTCGACGAAGTGAATAGAGTAGCAAAATCATCGATTTAGGTACGTCACATGTCTAGAAATTATGGGTATTTAATGACCTTATAGCTTTCATTGAAGGCCTGAACGGCGCTATATTGAGATGCTCAGCCAGTTTCCGTTTTTCACTGCGTGGTTGTGCTTCTATTTCCCTCTAAAAGCCTGTTGGTGAGTAATTGCTTCACCGAGAAAGCTTCTCGTTCTTTATCCATCCGCTTCTGAGCGATATCTCGCTAAACCTTCTACTTTTACTTTTGCTTTGGGACCATTAATTCCAGAAATGATGAAATTTGCGGCCGTTATAACAAGCGATATTCTTGAAATCCATCCGATGTATTACATCGTTTGCAACACGCTTTGAACTTAAATACGTCCTGCAGTCTTCTGCTGCAAATGAGCAATGCCTGAAGCATTCAAAGAGCAACTCGAGGCTCGAAAGACAAACCCTTATGAAGTTCACAGATACGTACCAAAGACACATGATTGATGGCTGGGAATCTATCAACGCGAGGCGACTCGCCTCGAGATAAGGCCTTATGTTTTACGAGTATAAAATGACCATGCACCGCGTTCGAACACATATTATCTTTAACTTTGCGACCAACGGGCACTGTGAGTCACCCCTCTTCTCATGTTAATCTCTCGAGCCACTCTGATTCCGTCCTTTCAGAAGCAAGCTTACAGGAAACAGCAAGCCATGGTCACCGACATAACGACCACAAAATATGCTGAAAGAGCGAGGGCGCTAATGGGAGCTGCGCAGAAGCTGCGAGATATCGGGTAATACGAAAAATTTGTATTCCATCCCTGATTATTCCTGGCTGAGATCTACTTTTTTAGCGCTCAAGCATTCGTTGATATCCCAAGGATCGCTGTCATTGGCGGGCAATCGGCTGGGAAAAGGTCTATACCCACGGAAATATGTTGAATTATGTCTCTGATTTAAAAAAAAAATTACTTTAGCTCTTTGGTCGAAGCTGTAAGCGGGGTAAGCTCTAGGCACTGAAATCTCTATTATCGTCCCAAACTTGGCTAAATGTACCGTTTTATCTTCCTTAGATCCGAGTACCAAGGGATAGCGGTACATGTACAAGGTTCGTCTCCATAATGTTTTGTGTCGAAAACCTTCATTTATTTTTTTATCTGACACATTGAATTAGATGCCCGATGGAAATCAACTTGATTAACACTCCCGGCCAGTGGTCTTGCCGCATCACTCTCCGATTCGAGTACGATTCTTCGGGCATTCCACTGACGGAAGTGCAGAGTGTCCCGTTCGGCTTACCTTTCGCCTCCCGGGACGATGTTGAGCTCGCACTCCGACGCGCTCAGACCGCCGTTCTTAACCATCCGAAAATGAATACCGAATTTTTCATCCTGAAGTCAAGGGATGAGCTTGAGTACTATCGCACTTACGAGGCCTTCGACAGCGGCACTCTGAAATTCTCTAAAAACACGGTCGTTGTCGACATATTTGATGAGAAGTGTGCTAACCTGTCGTTTGTTGATTTACCTGGTAAGTGCATAATATCCGTTGTGCACGTTGGAGTAACTTAGATAAGTATTTAGGCCTTATTCAAAACGACGAGCAATCAACGGTGCAACTAGTTGAAGATCTCGTAAGAAGCAATATTGAAGGGAATTGTCTAATCCTTGTCACCATTCCCATGAGCGGTGAGCTCTACCTTTATTGTCTTATTGAGATTATCTTAACGCATCCAGATGATATTGAAAATCAGCGAGCGATGCGCATTGCTCTCGAGGTGGACACCGAAAAAACAAGGACTATCGGTGTGCTGTTCGTTCTGATTATCATCTTAGTGATCCTCATCCTCTTCGCAATAGGTGTTCTCACAAAGCCAGATACACTTACCGCCGGTGCGCTCAACGCTCGTAAGAAATGGAAAGACCTCATGGCCGGGAACGACAAGTCTATTGAGCCGCACGCTCTAAAGTTAGGATACTATTGCGTTAAGCTTGCAGACGATGCCGAGCGTGCTACGAATCCGTCACGAGAGGAACGCAATGCGAGCGAGACAATGTTCTTCTCGACAACGCTTCCTTGGAGCACTATTCCGGATCGCAAACTCTTCGGCGTTTCGAACCTGGTTAATGATTTGAGCAGATATCTGACGGAAATACTTGAATCAATGTACGTTCTTCGCCTATTTTGTCCATCGAGGCGAGTAGCTTGCTCAGCGATAAAACTCCTGAAGCCTTCCGCGCCTAGGAGAACAAGCACGAGAGCAACTCAAATCGTGTCGCGACTCTCTCGCGCAACTCCCTGAACTCTTGCATGGAGATGTATCAAGCGAAGTATTAGAGCGCGTCACCAATTTCTGCCAGGAGCTGACTGCGACGGTATATGGTTATGAATATATACTTGGGGTACAGCACGCGGGACCTAATATCAGCAGTAACAAGTCTTTTATCCAGAGCAATCGAGCGATGTATAAAGGCTTCAGATCCCAAATCAGACACACGGCGCCTGACTTTCGTCCATTCGAGAATCATCAAGATTACACCAAGCCCTCTTTCGCCGACCTCGATGGGAGCTCCTCACACGAGGGCCAAGGGAACGGCCCGCGCGATCTTCTCTACGTCAGGAAGGTTATAAAAGAGTCAGTTTCTCTATTATAACAAATGTATGACGTTGACCACGCATTCAATACATAGATCTATAGCGTGGGAGCTTCCGAATAATGTCCCTTTCGACGCGAAGCGTAGACTAATAAAAGAGTTCGTTTGCGAATGGGACGAACCGGCTTTGAAATGTTTCGACGATGTGTCGAACAACCTTTCTGGTTGTCTCGATGACATTTTGCGGCGCCATTTTGAGCGATTCTCGAGACTAAAGAGTCACATGGGGTATGTCTTTGCGTCTGTGAATCTTTACGAAGCACGTATTTGACAGTTTAAAGAATTCTTGTCAAGGACCTGTTCTCGATACAGAAGGGGATCGCTCGTAGTGCTATAAACAGCGCTTTGAAACTAGAAAACAACCCTCTATTCACTCAGAATGAGCAATATCTATCTCGTCTTCAAGACAAATGGCTTGCCGAATACTCGGAAATCCGTAGAAATCAAACCGAGTACCTTAAACCGTGCGACGGTGAGTGCCTTCCTTGCAGAAGGCATATGACATAGACTGAGTTTGAATTTACGACTCTTAGGTTCGATTGACTCCGGAGCTGCTTCCATAGCTGGTTCGCCACCGACAGAGTACATACCCCTCAGACCTGCATACGAGTCGCGAACCGGGCCATCTTCCGTTTGCGCTATTCGAACCGAACCACCTTCTGTTCGCGCTATTCGTGCTCTCGCAGAATTAGGCTACCTTGGCCTGTCAGAGAGAGACATCCGTCTTCGCATGCGACGTCCAGACGAATTTAATGAGGAATTGATCGTAATGGCAGATGTCAGGGCGTATTTCTTCGTGGCTTACAAGGTTAGTCGTTCATGTGATCTTGACTAAGCTCGCAGCCACTAGAACACTTTTCCATCAGCGAATTATCGATAGCGTGCCACTTACAATTGAGCACATGCTGAATCAAGGTCTTGCAGACTGCATGAAGAAGTCACTCTTGCAGAAACTCGATCTTGGCGCGCCAGACGCGACGAAGAGGCTTAAGGACCTATTAGCGGAGGACCCGGACATCGCTCGAAGGCGTAGCGAGTTGACTGCGAAGATAGAGAGGTTGAAAAAGATCCAGGCGGAACTCCGCATTTGGATAACGTAGTTCTGGTACTCAATGGGTTTTAGAGTAGACATTTTCTTCGTAGTGCTGGCAAAGACAACAAAGAGGCATCCAGATATAATAAACGCTAGTCCGAGCAGCGAGATACATGCTGAATACGGAGATTATTACTACGAAGTTATTCGAATTACCAAATGTAACCAAGCAAGTCATCGATGCTCATGATGGGAATGAGAGACAGTGCTACAAAACCTGTGGATTGTGCTGACTATTAGTACAAGCCGACGTTCGGTCTTTGCCGCAACCTGTGAGTTATCTCAAATGCACGTCCTGGTGTTCAAGATGGAGATCCTTCTCGCGGATCTGAAAGATAAGGCAAGGTCCAAAGATCCCACTGAATGAAGCCAAATTCGAATGGACGACTCGGAAAGGACAGTAAAGAGGCCAAATTGAAATCCAGAGCTAAGATGGAATATGGACTATGTAAGTGTACATACAAATAAAACACTGCGTCCTCCTAGTCCAACACGAATAAAGACGGAATAAAGAAGTAGAAGAACCCATCCACGAAGAAACAGACTGAAAGAGAGTAAAAGCAAAGCGACAGATCCAGAAAGGACAGTAGAGCGACAAGGGAAAAAACGAAGGGATGGCACCATATGAGT